AGATTGAAATTAATAAATAAATAAGGATGGATGGGGAGGAACTGTAGGATAGACTAAAATGAAACAGGTAGACTAAAATGTTTACTGTAGAATCTAGACAGTAGGTAGATTTTGAATTCACTGAAAAAATATTTTAGCTTTGCTCTATGTTTGAAAAGTTTCGTGATGAACTGTTGATAGGGAGCAGTGGGGAGGGAAGAATTGTATTTTGCTGCAGATAACAGAGACCATGGTACCATTGGCTTCAGGAAACAAGGGTTGTTTTCCTTTCATGTAAAATGAATTCAGAGGACAGCCGTCTAGAGTTCGTCTGGCAGCTCAGAGATGCATCCATGCCCTAGCATCCTTCTGTCTTTATTCTCTGCCATCTCAGCATGTGGCTTCCATTCTCAAGGTTGCCTCATGGTTACGAGATGGTCCCTGCACTCCAGCTCCAAGGATCACGTTCTAGGCAAAAGGAAGGAGGAAGTAGGAAGAGTATGGACCTCTCTTGAGAAGCACAGCCCAACAACTTCCACCTACACATCATTGGCTCAAACATAGTCCTTTGGTCTCTCCTATCTATAAGGGGGATAGGCACATGGCAGTACCATTCCCCCCACACACCCTAACTGGGTTTGATTGCTAAGAAGAATCAGGGAATAGATATTGCACAAGAAAGAATGAATGTCTACCATGGAGCCTGAATTGAAACTGTGAGAAAATAATCAAATTCCATAAGCCAAGGTCATATCAAAGCCCTAGGAGCTTTAATCACAGTCTTGAGATGCAAATAAAGTGTCTGGGGAGGCCCTGGGCCACACGGAGGACCAGTTTGTCCCAAAGACACATTTAGAAACAACTTTCACTGCCTATCCAGAGTCTAACCTCGGAGAATACAGAATCCTGTGGGCAGAGTAGAAACAAATACATGTCAAAATACAAATGTAGCACAAATAAGGTGCAGAGGGTGAAGGAAGCTGCTCAGCCATCCTCAAACTAAGAATGTTATGAAAAATCTAAGACGTGCCCATCAGTCTCTGGCAGTACTGGCTCTGGAACCTGAAAATTAAATGATGTGGTCATGGATCTGAGACTCGAGTTTCAGAGGTGCTAAAAAGGTGGAGGGGATCTGGTTTCCTTTCCATTCATATTTCCATTTGTCTCTGTTGTAAAAGATGTCCTCCTCCGTGTGTCCACCTACATGCACACAGATGTTAGCAAATGGCCACAGAAACATTTTAATTAACGCAAGTCACACATTAAAATCTTGTAATTTTTCTTACTCCCGCTAATAAATCTATTATGATATAAAAGACATAAAACAGGTGTGTATAATGAAATACTGATAATACACAAAAGTACACATGAATGATTCAAATAGATAAACACAGAGAGACACAAACAGTGTGGGAATTAGGTCTGTAATTTTTCTTCATTTTGTACAATCTAGTACAGTTTCAGTTTTCATTCTAAGCTTCCCTACTGGTTTCTGTCCAGCAACTGATAAGAAACTCCACTCTGAGCCAATCAAAAACCTATTTCTCCCAACGAGAGACTCTGTTACTGTTTCTCACCGTGAGCTGCCTTTCTTTCTTTTCCCTTTCTTCCAGAGCAGACTGTTAAGATTAATGGAGAACTATTGATTACCTTCATTCAATGGGCTGTGATTTTCAGATGGGAATGCCAAGGGGTAAGTGGGGGAAATTGGTAAAAGCCAGGGCCACAGGCCCTGCAAGGAGAGAGGCTAAAAAGCTGAGAGTGGGTACAGGGAAGTCCTCACCCAGAGAAAGGGGTTTAGTGCTTGTGTGTGGTGAGGAGATGGGGATGGGGGCAAGAGGCTCTGCAAAAGGTAAGGACCCGCACTGGGAAATTTAGTGGGAGGGAGGCAACCTGAATGGAGAAACTTTCAATAAATATTCTAAAACATAAGTGAAAACATATTCCCCACTCTGAAGACAGGTGAGACATTGTTACCTATTATGATAATAATAATACTGTCCTCTCTCTAGCAGCATAGAGAATGGTTTGAAGAGGAGAGGATGTAGTGAAAGGCAGTATTCTGTCTGAGGGTGTGTCCAGGTTTCAGACAAGGGTCTGAAGGAGTACCAGCTGCACAGACTTCTGCTCCCTTGTCCCCCGGCAGCTTCCAGACTTGCAGGTACTGTGACTGGGGGCCTCATGCTGGTTTGTTTTGGAAGAATTGGTATTTAATGTACAACTAATGTGTTGCAGTCACCATAGTTACTTCTAACAATTTTCAGTCATTAAGTTATAAATGAATACTTTTAAAATTTAAAGTATTCATATAATTTTCAAAGTATAGGGTGCAAGAGACAAAAATATCTTTCATTCAATCCCCAATACTCAGTGTAGCATGTATCCTTTTCAAGGCAATTACATAAGCGTGTATATACAAATTTATAGCTTTGTTTTTGTTTTTTAACAAAATCATTAGTATTGTTCTTCAATGTGCTTTTTGTTCACTTAATGTATCTTGATTATCTGGGTTAGTGACTATAAATTAGTCTTAACTGCCAGAATGAATTGCTTCATAGTGCTGAGCCATCATTTAACTAACCAGTCTCCCATGAGTGGGTGGTTAGGTTGTTTATTGCTTTTTTCTTTTAAAAATCATACTGCAGTGTCATCTTCACACATGCTTCTCTCTGGACGCAGGCAAGTGCTTTGCTGGACCAGATATCTGGAGGTGGAATTGCAGGGCGAATTCTGCACATTCTAAAGTTCATATTTCACATTGTTTCATGAATGACTGGAGTTCAAATAGGTTTTGTCACATGACTGAGATCACACAGCTTATGAATCATGGAGCCATTACCTAGTTTCCACCCCCCTTTTGTTCCTACACCTAACACATAGTGGGCCTGGAGCACAGTGTGTGCTCCGTAAATGTTTATTGAATGAATGAATGAAAAGATGGGTGAGACCTGGTCTTATTCCCAGCTCTCCTATTCACTAGCCTTGTGACTAAGAAGTGGTGGGTTCAGCCTCTGACTGACTCCAGAGCCTCCACCAGGGAGTCTGCCTGGATCTTAACCAGAGTCTGATGTTGGGTGATTTGAATTAAGTGATGGCCATGGGTTGCAGCTTAGCGGAGTTCACAGTGAAGCTCCCCAGAAGGACATACCCTCAAGTAATTTGTCACCACCCTATTCCACCTGACATCTTCAGGGAAGGAGAAGATATATGATGGGAGAGGACCAAGGGAGAAGGGAGGAGGTTGGTCCAGAGATCTCAGTCCTGTCTCTGAGTAATCCACCCAGGCCTGCTCTCAAGCTCTCCACTATCTAGGGATGCAGCCAAGTCTGGGGTGTTTAGGATGGAAGCCAAGCTAGAACTCCAGCTAGAATCAAGCCTTGCCAGCTGGTGTGGGTCCTACACTTCCCTTATCATAAACAGTCACAGAGATGCCACAGAGCACTCCCAAAAGATGATGGAGATGCTTTTCTGAGCCAAGATACAGTTTGGAGCACTGGGCAGGGAATATGGAGTTGCAGGGGCCCTGCCTCTGAACTGAGAGAACCTCAGCACTTTGTAGAGGCACGAGCTTTGTTGGGCTGCTGTGTGCTCCTCGCTTCACATATTCGCCCCTACTTTTCAAGTACCAGCTCTTATATCTCTGCCTCGAAATGGCACTTCTCTAGCAGTGGACAGACTAAGACCAGGGAACTTATCCATTGCTGGTGAGCCCAGAGGCCATCTGCCAGGAAACACTGGGGAACACCTGGGGAAAGAGAAGACAGAAAAGGAATAATTTCCTTCCCAGGGGTGTTTGTCTCACAAAGAACAATTGTGAAAAGAGTACACTGAGGCACACTGAGTTGTAACATTCTTACGTGCATACCCAGGACATTCTTGCTCCTTGAAACCACTTCATTAAAAAATAGGAATAAATACATTAATATAGGCCAGTCCCAGTCGGAACACAAGAGGGTGAGCTCTGCTCTCTAGGCCAGACCAAAAGAGCAACATCATTAAGGAGATGGATGCTTGTCTTCACAACTCTCCACCTTCACTCCTCTTGGATGGCAACCAGTTAATGTGATCATCTAAATTGATTGATAATGTTAGTGAGTTTTGCTAGGTTAATATGTTACCCCTCATACAGTCACTCTTTCAACAAATATTTACTGAGGGTTCCATGTGAACCACACCCTGTTCTACGGGCTCGGTACATATCAGGAAACAAAATAGACCAATGTCTTTGCTTTATGGAGCTTCCCATTCGAGCAGGTGGAGACAGAGTAAACACAGGATATGTTAGATGGTGAAAATTCAATGAGGAAAAGAGAGCAGGTTCAGGGAGATGGGAGAAGTTTGCCATAATCCTGTGGTCAGAGAAGATCTCGTGGAGGAGCTGACTTTAGAGAAAAGACTTGAAGGAGGTAAGGGAGTGAGCCTGGTGGATAGCTGGGGGAAGAGGGTTCCAGGTAGAGGAAGAGTCAGGGTTGAGGTCCTCTGTCCTGGTCTGTTCAAGGACTAGCAAGAATGTCAGAGAAGCTGGAGCAAACGATGAGAGTGGGGGGGTTACGTGAGAGGTTCAGGCCCTAGAGGGCCACGCTGGCCATTCTTGGACTTCAGCATCTACTCTGAGTGAAAAGGGAGCCACTGGTAGGTGCTGAGCAGAGAAGTGGCACGATGTGACTCAAGGGACCTACTGGCTCTTGTGTTGAGCATAGACTGTAGGGGACCAAAGTGGAATCAGGAGACCCAGAAAGGAGGTTCCTGCATTAATCAGAGTGTGATGGTGGAGGCTTGGACATGGCTGCAGCAGGGGAAGTGTGGGAAAGTGGAAGGATTCTGAACCTATTTGGACAGTAGAGCCAAGGATTTCTTGATGGGTTAGGGTTCATGTATGTATATTTAATGCTTCTTACATAATATTTACATGTTAAATGTATGTACATTTAACATTACATATTTTTATGAGTGATTTTCCATGTTGGAACTCAAAGTAAAGAGACTCGCAAGCAGACATTTTGGCAGAAGAGTATCTTGAGGTAGTATACATGTACTCATATGGGGAGGAGGTAGAAGACATACAGATGGCAGAATATCGAGGGAGAACTTCGATTTTAAGAGATGGCATCACTGAAGGGAAGGCTACTCTCCGAATTTACAACACCAGAGCCTCTGACAGTGGAAATTACCTGTGTTATTTCCAAGATGACAAATTCTCTGAAAACGCCATGATGCAGCTGAAGGTTGCAGGTGAGCCTCCAGGTTTTGTTCTGAACTCATTGCTACCTGGAACCTGTGAGCAGAGGCAGAAGTCATGCTCCAATACACCTCAGAGCATCCTGGTAATTCACTAGGAACTGCCTCCACTGCCTTCCCACTTTGTTTCTCTGAGGTCCTTGGGAAAGTCACAGGCTTTCCTCCAGGAAGAATCTCTCCTGTACCCTATAATATCAAGTAAAAAACTCCCTCCTGCTGGCCACCAGGGTATAAGCAGGGAAGTGGAAGGTCGAGGATAGGAAGGATAAGAAAATATCACCTCAGTGATGGCACACAGTTGTTTGGGTTCAGTTGTGTTCCAGACAGCTTCTGTGGCCCCTCCAGGTGCAGACTGCTGTGGGCCCTGGGAGGATGACCTGTAGGACAGCATCTGTGCTGCCAATGTTCTCCAGCCAAAGGCTCCCAGGAACACACCTGGAGTTGACCCAGTTGTGTTTATTACATTTTTCAGGGAGGGAAAATGCACACCATGTGGGAACTGTGGGGTGTCTCAGTAAGAGGGTGTTCAAGAAGACTTGGTATAGAATTTGGGCTTATGTTAGGGGAGTTGGGGGAGGGTATGTTGAAGTGTGGTTTTGATCTGGTTTGGTTTCTGTCAGGAAGGTGGAGGGTTTGATGCTGTGTGTGGATGTCTCAAGACTTCTTATCTAGAAAAATGACTTGAGTGAAGCTAAAGCTTTAATTGGTGAAGGAGCAGCAGTCACTCATAGCCAGGACAGGGAAATGTTTCTTCATGACTGTAGTTTGGACAGTATTCATATTTTTCTCTATGTTCAAACACAGTTGTTGAGTGGTCTTGTCTTTGTCTTAACCCATCACAGTGACAAAGTGCCCTTGTCTGATGTTGATGTTCCATGAAATTGCTTATGTTTAACAGGAGAACTCTGAGATCATGTTGATTTCTTTTTCTCTGGGCACTCTCTTGCCCTGTAGCATCTTGCTGGGTTTGATCACTGGGGAGCCATAGCAGAAGACGGATGGAGGAAGAGAGGAAGAGAGGTCTAAGTACTTATTCCCCTGGCTTTCTCCCTGCAGGACCACCTCTAGTTGGCTGTATTCCCTTCTCCAAGATCATAGCTACTCTTAAGAAGTCCCTGTCTACATGATTATCTACTTTTAGGTCTTCAAAATGGCTTTTTCTCCACCTCTCTTTGGATTTAGAGGTGGGTGGTAATATCTCCACTGTTCCTGGCTCTGGGGTATTGCTCTATTCCGTTTGGTTTTCCCCTTCCCATGACCACGCTTTTGTAAATAGCTCCTTAATGAAACAGCCCTTGAATTACCTAATGTGAGTGTGCCTCTGATTTGTGTGGAGACTCAGTACAGGAGTCTCCAAAGAATTCAAGCTCATTTATCCTTCCACAGCAATGGGTTCTGATTTTCTTCTTGAAATAAGGGTTATGAGAGTAGAGGCATCCATCTGTAGTGCATGTCCGCCAGCTGGTATCCCCGGCCTCAAATACAGTGGAGAGATGCCAAGGGAGAGGCATGCCAGCTGTGCAGTACCATTGGATACAGATAGAGCCAGCCTGTGTACAGTTGCAGCATCTTTGATCCTGAAAGGCAGCTCTGGGGAAGAGTGTCCTGTATCATCAGAAATCCCTTCCCAGACAGAAAAAGACAGCCAGGATTTCCATTGCAAGTCAGTTTTCTGCTTATCCTCACTGTGCTGAGCTCTGGCTATTGAAAGAAGAAGAATGTTGATTCTCTGTCGCTGACTTGGGTCTCTGCAGTGAATATAAGGCGCAGAGCAGGGACCCAGAGGCTTCTTCTTACTCCAGGGATGTTTCCTTTCCCCATAAATCTGTTTATCTCATGAACATTTTGAGTATTTCCTGTGTGCTGGTAACTGTAAAAGGCAATGGGAATTGTGGGAAAATGCTAAAGATCAGACCCTTAAGCAAACACAAATGAAAAAAATACATACAACTCATATCTTGGAGAAGGAGCTAATCTCCTTAAAATATAAAACAACCCAGTAGAAAAATGAGTGAAGGATATGAATTATTAGTTCACAGAAAAGGAAATAACACACCAGATGGTGTCCTATCTCACTCAATAGAAGAACGTGTATTAAAACATTTTCCACTTGTGAGATTGGCACCAAAACAAAACAAACAAGAGTGAGGTGGTAGATCAGACTCTCTAATGGTGGGATTGTGGGTTGACAGTTACTCTTAGACATTTGTTGACATAATTTGATGTATTTTTGGTATAAATTGGCACAACTGCTATTGGGACCATATAGTAGTATTTCTCCAAAGTACCTACTTACGGATCCAAAATCCCATTTTTGGGAATTTATCTCACAGATATTCTTGCATTTATATGAAATGACCCATGTAAAATGTTATTTCTTATAGCATTAATTATAATAGCAAAAAGTTAGAAACTATGTGCATGTCCATCAATGGAAAACTTTTATGCAATGGAATATTGCACAGCTGTGAAAGAAACACAGACATTCTCTCTGTACTAATGGCAGGATCTCCAAGATGAAGAGAAAAAGCCAGATGCAGAGTAGTTTGTAGAGAAATCTATCTTTGGTGTAATCAAGAAAAAATAAGCATATCTTTGTATTTTTAAAATGTAATACACACTTGCATAGCACTCACTATGTGTCAGGCATTATAAGCATTTATTGAATCTTTTAACATTACAAGTAGGGTCCTATTATTAACCCATGTTACAGATTAGAACACCAGGAGCAGAGCAGTGAAGTAATTAGTCCAAGATCACACTCCCAGTCAAGTGGAGGAGCCAGAATTTGAACACAAGCCCCTCCAGCTCCTAAGTTCACATTCTTAACCACCCTATTAAGCTGCCTAATGAGAGGCTAATAAATTGGGAGAGAGAAGAGGGAGTGGATGGGAGACTTTTCATGTTTTTTTGATATTTGAACTGTGTAAAGGTAACCTGTTGAAAAATTAAATTAGAAAAAACATGAGTCTCATGCTCAAGAAACTCATATTCAGATGTGAGAAGCAGACATTTCAAGACAAGTAATAGTATTATGTTACAGTAAGAGTTTACTGAATTGTTATACAAAGTTCGCTGAGAGTTTAGAAGGAGAAGGGTCATTTAATGTCGTGAGATCAGCTCTGTGATCTCTGCCCTTGGGGTAAGAGGCTAAAGCTCCATTCCATTGCAGACCCCTTATGGAGGGCCTGGCCCTGGATTGTGGCCTTGGTGGGGACACTACCCATCTTCCTGCTGATTCTTGCAGTGTTGGGTTACTTCCTATGGCGACAGCAGAAGGAGAAAGAGAGAAAGCAAGCAGAAAAGGATTTGGAAGGAAGGACAAGAGGTATCAGACCAGGGAGGCAAACTAAGGCACTGGCTTAGCGGAGGGTACCCCCAAGGACCTCACTCAATCCCCACCCCGTGCACCCACCCCTACACTGGGTCATTTGTAAGGTTTGTTTTCCAGAGTTCCTCCCTGCTCCGTTCCTACATCAGTAATTTTTTTTCTCCTTATTTTCCAGAGGAGCTCCAGCATGAACTCAGTAAGTTCCTATTCCCACAGGGACCTATATATGTCTCCCTTTCACTGCTTTAAGCATCTGAATGACTCTTCACATTTCTTCCATTGCAGAGTGGAGAAAGATCCAGTACATGGCTCGTGAGTGGCTCTGACGTTTTCTCTGAATTTGCATCTAAGACTCTGTACTAAGATATTTCCAGTCCTTTCCACACCTCTAACTCTGTCCATGGCTGAGAAATGTCCTGGATCCCTTTATGGAGGGAAAGAAAGGGTGGCTGATTGTGGGGAAGCACATGGGAATCATGGTTTTCTAATGTAGAAAAGGGCCTTCAATCTCTCTCCAGGAGGGGCCCACAGACTCTTCAACCCAGCAAGGCACCAGGGAATATCCAGGGTGCACTTGAGAGGAAAGGAGGAGGATGGGGATGGAACTCTCTAGATGAAGTGACTTCCCTATGCTTGGAATCTCACATGTTGCTTTACATAATCTGTAGGTTGCTGAGAAGAAAACAAAGAATGTAAGATTTAAAAGAATGAGAAAATCAGAGAAGAAGATGAGAGAAAAGTGTGTTTAAAAAGAGTAACCATGGGCCGGCCTGGTGGCTTAGCGGTTAAGTGCACCCGCTCTGCTACTGGCGGCCGGGGTTCAGATCCCGGGCGCGTACAGACACACTGCTTCTCTGGCCATGCTGAGGCCACGTCCCACATACAGCAACTAGAAGGATGTGCAACTATGACATACAACTATCTACTGGGGCTTTGGGGAAGAAAAAAAGGAGGAGGATTGGCAATGGACGTTAGCTCAGAGCCGGTCTTCCTCAGCAAAAAGAGGAGGATTAGCACGGATGTTAGCTCAGGGCTGATCTCCTTCACAAAAAAAAAAAAAAAGAAAGAAAAAAGAGAGTAGCCACAATAGCTCAGGTGTCACAGATTTATTAGAACTGCTTTTAAAAAAAATAGTATCTGAAAGTTCCTCGTCATGTTGCTCAATTCTTTTCAGGAGTAGGCAGGACATAACAGCTTGAGACAGATGGGTTCTAGTGCACATACACAGACACGTGTACACACAGTGACACCTGTGCCCAGGTATGGGAGTGTATATACATACAGAATAGATCTGCCGGGTCTCAGCTGGGAAAGTACTTACATGGTGCCTGTGGTATCATCAGCATGGAATTGATGTTCTCAGACTTGATATCAAGGAGGAGATGGGAAGAGACAATTGAACAGGCAGAGGCAGTGCGTATGAAGCATGGGGATGGAGGCCAGAAAGAAAGATTAGATGGGTGCAAAAAAAGAGAAAGGACGTGACTCAGAATTGACATTGTTCAGGTGACATCTGTACCTTTCTTCCATTGTAGGTGGAGAGAAGTCTCAGAACTATGCTGGTGAGTGACCCTGATGTTCTCTGAGTTTCCTGGCATATGTGTACTAAGCATTTAAGCCGTTTCTCTCCTGTGTGACCCATTGGCATTCCCAGGAGGAATAATCAGATCTAACCTGGAGGATCATTTTCTGGGGGGGATACCACTCCTGCTTTTCTAGAGCCTCAGAAGGAACTTCCAGTTACAGCATCTTGGCATTTTCAGTCATCCCACAGCCTGCGGTCACACATGCCCCACACTAGCAAAGCCTGGCCATGTGGCCTGCACTCCCATGTGATGGAGGGTAGAAAGTTCACTATTTTGGAGAGGGTGTATGCCTGAATCAGCAGAGCTGTAGATGAAGGAAGCCGGACCTTGGAAGAGACTGATGAAAGGGAGAGAGAAAAGGCTTAGTGAGGAGAATGGGTGGGGGCAAGGACAGAAATAATGCCCTTTCCTTATCTGTGTCTCCTGCCTTTCAGAATGGAAGATGGCCCTCTTCCAAGCTGGTGAGTGAATCACTGTATGTTTTCTAGGACAACAACCTGAGGGACCATATTCCCTTTTTCGTCTCCAACTCTTGAGATTCTGGCAAGAAAAGTCCCTATGACT